TCTCTCAGTTGCAGAATTTAGTAGGAATGGTTAGAAATATAGTTGTTGCTAGTTAAAATCTTTATATTGTGAAGATTCAAGGGGGCAACCCAAGATGCTCCAAGTCAGTGATGTGAACAGATTTGGAAGAACAGAAAAGGCTTTGCTTAACATTTTTGAAAGAGGGGATGCACACATTAGCCCCCATCTGATCCATGTAATGTCACAGGATTTCACATATTATTCAGCCCTATCAAATATTTAGTGATTTTTGTAAGCTTTTTTAAAAAATGCACCTACCCATACTTCAGCTTTTTTGTACACAACTGAGGTATATGTATAGTCTATTTTTGAGATGGATCTTTCCCAAATAGGATTTAATGGAGATATTTGTAGAGAGAATAATGAATAGTAATGGATCCCATTCGTTGCTGCAACACTGTATTGGGCTTCCACTGACATCCCTGGGGGGTTTCTTTTATTTCCAAACTTAGGGAGGGATTATGCAGAAATGGTTATTCATTTATGCTGTAATCATCTTGAGGCTTGTCTTATGGAACTGCCTGCTGTTTTGCATTTGTCAGGGTCAACATGCTCCACATCCCATCAGTGAAGCAGTGCCATCATGGGACCCAGGAGAAGTGTCTTGTCTGCGGATCCTGTCTTCTGGCCCCGCCTTCCCCCAGATGTCTGCAAGACCCTGACACCATTGTGCTTTCAGAAAACTGTGGAGCTCTGACTTTTTCAGCAGGACCTTGGGCAAGGCAGTCTGTGACCTTGCTTGTGATCTCATTCGTATGCCGCATAACCGTATGCCATATGCCTCATTCGTATGCCGCATCTTGTTTCCCCAGTGTGAGTTTTTTCTTACCCATTACTGTGTTGTTTTACTGTTGGACATCTATTTTAATCTGTTTCTGTTATACAGTATCGTTTTAAGGCACTTGGAGCTGCTTTGACAATTGAGGTGGGGGGCAGTAAATTGATTCAATAAATACTTTCCCCTTACTGGAGTTCTTGCATTTGGATTTTATTCAAGGAAACCAGATCTCAGGCTGAAGCTTTTTTCAAAATAGGGTGTCCTCAGTCTAAATGGCTTTCCTCTGCCATCTGGTGGAAGTGCTTATGAACGGATATTTATATCATTGTTTTTCTGTTTTCCAAAGCATAGAAGAGGACTCTCCTTATTCCGATTAAGTAAACTGGGACTTCAGCCTGACCAGAATTTTTGTTAGCCTTTAGAATTATACGTAATAAAGCACACATTGTTTTCTACTATAGAAGAAGTACCATATCTTGGAAAATGGAAATCTTCCATTAAAATACTGCATTATGACTCTGGATAAGTTAATATACTGCAGAGAAACACGAGCTTTCAAACACATTTATAATAAACTTATATTATTTATAACATCAAAATTATATAGCCAACTATAATATAATTACAATATCATTTTTTGCACTATGTATATGGAGTGAAATCCCATTTTTAAGGACTATTTGTGAGGAAGGTTGTCCATCAGATTTGGCTGTGTGTTAAATACAAAAGTATATCATTGCAATGATTTACATCATTCACTTAATGATGTCATTATGCAAATGATGGATTTTATGTCATTTACATAAGATGTCTTTGAAACAGACTTATCTGCTATTTTGTGGAGATATGTGATGGATATTTGGTCTGTTGCATCCAAAGTCTGCTAAACAGGGGTCCATTAAATCAAGGTTTCACTGTAGCTGCTTTTTTCTGTTCTTTGCTTTTAGTATGGTTTCACACAACAAACAAAACCATGTTTTGTATTAACCTGGATTTATCAAATAGGCTGAATTCACACATAACTACAATCCACAACTTACCAGCTTCATACAACATGCCAAACCAAAGCCAAATAAATCAAGTTATTACTTAATGCAATTTGTGGACATGGTCACTGTTTCATAACAATGAAAACGGACAGAAGAAAATAAAATATCCATCAGTTCTGAAATGATTGAAAAGTTGCTGCTGCAGAGAAAAATTCAGAGTTGTGCTTTTTGGGGAGAAACAGGGGATCCTGCTATATTTTTAGGATTATATGGTAGATTTCAATCCCAGGAAAACATAACTATCTGGCATCTGTCAGATAAAGTCACTTGACTTCACTCAGAGTTGGACTCTGGCTGGGCAGATCCTTTGGAGGTGACGGAGACACATCTGAGACTTGTTATCTGGAAGGAGTTCGAGCCGGTTGCTTTTCTGGAAGTGGACAGGATCCTTGCAGCTGTGAGCTCAGCCACCTGTGTTCTGGACCCATGCCCCTCCTGGCTGGTTAAGGCCTCCCGTGAGGTGGCATGTGGTTGGGTCCAAGTGGTGATTAATGCCTGTTTGCAGGAAGGGGGTGGTGCCACCTGCCTTGAAGGATGCAGTGGTGTCCCCCCTTCTCAAGAGGACCCAACAGTGTTAGATAACAGTCTCCAACCTTCCCTTTTTAGGGAAGGTTGCTGAGAGGGTGGTTGGCACACAGCTAGAGAGGACCCTGGATGAAGCAGATTATCTGGACCCTTTTCAGGCTGGGGCACAGCACTGAAATGGCATTGGTTACACTTGTTGATGACCTTTGGGATGGGGATGGTGCAACCATTCTGGCCCTTCTGGACTTCTCAACGTCTTTCAATACCATTGACCATGGTATCCTTCTGGACTGACTTCAGGGTTGGGAGTGGGAGGCACTGTGTTATGCTGGTTCTCCTCCTTTCTCCTTGGCTGGTTCCAGTCAGTGTTGGTGGGGGAGGAGAGGTCACGGTGAGGTCCCTCAGGGTTCAAGTCTTTCTCCTCTCCTCTTTAACATCTACATGAAACCTCTGGGGGAGGTCATCTGTCAGTATGGGGTGTGGTATCATCAGTATTTCATCTACATGAAACCTCTGGGGGAGGTCATCTGTCAGTATGGGGTGTGGTATCATCAGCTTATATATCTCCACCCCTAGCTGGACAAGTGATGCTGTGGTGATGCTGGCCAAGTGCCTGGAGGATGTAACGGCCAGGATGGGGAGGAACTCAACTCAACCCTAGCAAGACGGAGTGGCTCTGGAGTTTTGGCCTGCCAGGCCCAGGTGATATTTCATCTCTAACTCTGGACAGGGTGGCACTCCCCCAGATTGAGTTGGGGTACAGTTTGGAGGTCCTCCTAGACTCACAGCTCCTGCTAGAGGAGCAGGTGGCAGCCATGGCTAGGGGGGCCTTTGCACAGATTCATCTCGTGTGCCAATTATGTCCCTTCCTGAACCGGGAGGCCTGGCTCATGGTCACTCATGCTTTGGTCACTTCTCATTTGGATTACTGCAACATGTTCTACATGGGGCTGCCCTTGAAGACCACCTGGAAGCTACAACTGGTCCAGAATGCGGACCAGTTGTAAATGCACATGCAGTTACGGGTGCCTCTAGGTTTACCCATGCAACATCTCTATTATGTGAGCTGCACTGACTCTTGGTTTCCTTCTGGGTGCAATTCAAGGTGCTGGTTATTACCTTTAAAGCCCTACATGGCACAGGGCTGGGTTATCTGCAGGATTACCTCTCCCTAAGGACATCTACCCATTCTACCAGATCAGATAGGGTGGGCATGCTCCTAGTCCCTTCCCTTAAACATTGCCATCTTATGGGATCTAGGAAGCATGCCTTTTCTGTGGCAGCCTCTACACTGTGGAACACCCTTCCCCTGAAGTTCAGCAGACCCCCACCCCCTTAGCCTTCCAAAAAGCATATAAGACCTGTCTTTCCCCCCAAGCGCTGGGAGAGGGTGAGATTGATGGGAGGACTTAGTGATGGACTGCATGTGAACATTTAACTTTGGTGCCAGGTTTTTTAATGTTTGTGGTTTTAATAGACATATGTATGTATTAATGGTATATTGATGTTGCTTTAATTGTTGGTTGGGAGCCACCCAGAGTTCAATATAAGATTGGTGGCTATATAAATGTTATAAATAAATAAATAAATAAATAAATAATCAGCTATATGGGCAGATATATTTGTAACCACCAAATTACATTAAATGGTATTCAAGAACGATATAAAGAAGCATTCTGCTGGCAGTTGTGTCTTCTTCTCCATAAGCAGTCAAACCAAGATCTATTTATCTAGTACACTGCATTTATATGTAACTTTGATTCAGTGTAAAGCAATCTCTGGGCATCCAAGTCAAATTCTGGCCTATGCAAAAAAAAAAAAAACCTCTTGGAAACTTCATAATGAATCACATATATTTCAGGAAAAAAAAATTTTTTTTCTTTTGATTCAGTCTGTTCAGCTTCTAATTACTGCCTGCACCTTGGATGGATCAAAGTAAAAAACAACAACAACAGTATTCAATTAAATGAAAGCATTTTCCAGCAACATAGGATGGAAGATCTGATGAATTCTACCCTAGGTGTTTGAGGAACATCGTTAATATCTGGCAACAGGAAGCCTGGAATGAAAACATGGAAAACACCCTTGATCATGGAAAATAGAACAACGCTGATCACATGTTCTTAGGACATACAGTTTCTGTTTAGATCATACCCCAAACCCAACTGAATTAAATTCTTACACATTTGCAACAACCAAATACAGGGAGCTAAAAATATTGGGTTTAAGAAGGGGAAAAAAAGAGTTTGTTTGTTTGTTTGTTTTAATTCCTGGAACTTGTACAGAAAAAACAGAAATTTGGGGTCTGGGTTGGTATTTAAAAATGTCTTCTTAAAAAGGATGGGAATCATCCTTTCTGTGGGATTGGAAGGGACCATAACAATCGTTTTGTCCAAACCTTTACTTAGTGCAGCAGCCATTAGGGCGTTCTTACAGAAGACTTTGAATGAGAGAGTTTAACCATTTAGAAAGCACCAGGGAATAAAGTATCTGAAATCAGTCAGAAGGTATCTTTGATTGGTCTAGTAGCAATTAACATAAAGCTCATCTCCCAGGGTTCCAGGTTGCGCTGATAACAAATGACATAAAGCACGATGATGCATGAAAAAGATATTGATGATGATACCTTATCTGCAGATCCTATTACAATTATAGTAGCAACACCTTTGTCTTCCTGGGCAATCATAATCATAACGACAGCGATGTATTCCTGGGATGGTGCATTTAAATGGATTTCGTGGGCAACTCCAAGGAAGCACTGAAATGCAGGGGAGGGAACAGGATTGTTGTTAACCATTAGTCAAACATCAGCTAACATATTTTCACCATTCTTTTGAATATAGTACAGCCCTACAGTGTCTATCTAAGCCATGGAGGCATGTAGAAAGTTAAGGAAGGAATTCCAGTTATGTCTTCTGATTTTGATGCTTCTGCCTGGTTTGAAGCATATTAAAGACTGACTCATACTGTCAGTGTCAGAGATGAAACATATCTGAAAGTACTTAATGGAATCTATAAAAATAGACATATATATGGAAGGGCCTATTGGGCAGATTCCATAAAAAGAAAAGAGTGGAACATCACACAGTAGACTCTAGAAGTCCCATGTGTGACCCTGAGGTCTCAGTTTACCCTCCTCTATCTTGTTGCAAAGTTTCAGGAGCAGTTGGAAAAGATCCTCACTGGTCATTTGGTCTGCAAGGCTCTCCTTCCTGATTTCAAGAACTAATTTACTGAATCTGTCATTGTGTTATCCTTACACATCACACCCATCAATACCCTTCTGAAAGGCAAATCTTATCAGAGAATTAAATCTGCCAAACGGACATTGATATTAGGATACCCACTGCCAGAGTTCCCAGCTTCTCTGCTTGCACAGGAAATCAGACCCAGAGTTGCAAAAAATGTCCTTGTTTATTAAAATTAAGATTACCTGGTGGGAATCTGCAACTTGTGCTACATCTCAGATTACAGCAACTTAGGCCCCGAGGGCAATCATAGTTACTCCTGCAATGACTAATTCCAGGTATAGCGCACTGAAGTGAATTTCCTGGGCAAATTCCAAATCCTGCCAAAAGTAAAATAATGCAAAATATCCAAATATCACTTACAAACATTGAAAAAATTATTTTGACTGTAGTTACTTGCCTATAGCAAATTCAGCACACAACCAGTAAAATCATATATTGGTCATATAAAACCTATCGTATGTTCGCTTACACGTACTTTATGCTTAGATTTCACTTTTTTGTACCAGTTCTATTCTAGAAGCTCTAGGAGACACTGCTAATAATAACTGCACTGCTCCTTCTTTATTACTCTTTGTCCAGTCTGAAATGTAAATGAATAAATTTATGTACATACTGACAGGCACTTCCAGATAAACAGACCCTCTCCTAGCTTTTTCGCTGAGTGCACAATTTAAATGATGCAAATAACTTTTTATGGTTACCAGATGCTATAGAATGGGCACTTTTACAACTTTGCCAGTCTACAACAATCACAGAGAACTGATAGCTTATACTTTCTGGCCAAAAGAAGAATATTGAGATGTCTCATCCAATCAGTGCTCCTCTGTCAGCTGGGAAAGAGAATTTCATTTGTCCCCCCCTTAAAAAGAAAAGAAAAAAAAATAAACTGAAAAACTTTACTCACCACAATGACACATGCTTTGGAATGTTGATTCTGTATTGGAACATTTTATATAATTATGCCATCTTCTCACCAGAACCAGACAGTAGGAACTGGGGGGTAAGATGAGCAAGACATTCCCTCTAATGGGCACCCCAAGCAAGACAACGTTGTAAACACTCCTGCTTGTGCAGCAACATTTGCTGCTTGAAAACAGGAGTCCTCAAAACTGCAGCAGAAAGATGCCATGGACACTGCATACCGATGCTCTGCATCATCTGATCAGGAGGGGGTTGATTCGATTTAATATTGCAATTGCACTCCCCTTTGGAACAGCCCTATGCATCTTTTCCATTAGTACATGACAGCAAAAGGGTTGATTGACTAATGTGATGAAGAAAACAAAATAAAATGTTGCATGTATATCTGTGTGTGTGTGAGTGTGTGTGTGTGTGTGTATCACTATTTCTTGCCACCCTTTAAAAGCTTTTTTCAGCTACTCATTTCAATTTATTTGGATGACCTGAAGGGTTATTTGCTTCAATATAATTGTTGTAATTATGTTCAGCTTGCACTGCACCGTGCTTACCATATTCTACTGTTAATCATTTTAAGCATCCTTGGAAAGCAAGTTATAAAGCTACTTAATAAACTGAATGTAAGTTTAAGCCCATCAAAAATATAGTAGATCCCATTTTAGTTTTAAATAGAGTTAACAAAGGTCTTGCCTTCCTGCAGACTTTTTTGCAGATTTCTCTGTCAAAGAGACTCCTCTCCCAACCATCTTATATCTTACCTGGAATCCTGAAAGAAGAAGTAAAGGGTAATCCTATCCAAAGGGCTAGAAGACCCACAAGAAGCAAGCCAGTCAATGCCTTCATGATGCCCTCAAGAGTCAGATGTGAACTCTCAGACTGGAATAAGGCTTGTATTTAAACAGATGTGTGGGTAGCTTTAAGATTACACCTTTCCACACCTTCCTCATACTTGATATCAACTGCATAAGAGCATCCAGAAACCTGAAATAATTGCTGTACACTGTCTTCATAGACAGCGTGCACTTTGGTCACACGAGGACTAGAACCAAAGGGTGTGACATCTAAAATGCTCTGATATAAACATCCTTACTTCAAACAACTCTTGTGAACCACACCCTAATTATAGCATCTTCCAACACGTGAAGAAAACACACTCACGCTGAGAATGGTATAAGGGCAGGGCTTGCCTTGTTAAGGACGCTGGACTTCCTATATTCTAACTAATAATTGGAGATAGTTAGGGCTGATACTTACCAAGAAAGATTACAGAACAGCCATAGGGTGGGGAGGATTGTGGTGAAACATAACTCAGTGGTACAGGGTAACAATTTTCTAAAGAAGCACATCATGCAATCTAGTTACAATGATCTCATCAGGGACATCCCTTCTAGTGGACAAGATGAAGCAGCTTCCTCAGGCAGAAGATGATAAGTGAAGGTACGAAGGACATGTCCCTGTCCTGTGACACCAAAGTTTGATTATTACTATCTGGTGCAATGGAATAACTGATCCATAGTCAAGGTTGAAGTAGGATGCTATTGTCAGTCTTGTTTTAAAGCCATCTTCTAGCCACTTTGAAAGCTGTTTTTGGTGGAGAAGTAGGAATTAAATTTAACGAAATAAATAGAACAATCAAGATTGGAGGCCATCACTAAATCTTGTGAAACAGAATCTAATAATTTAACCTCGTACTATACAATGTTGCACATAGTTTCTTTTCACTATCCCAAATCTCCCACAGTTTAGCTTCATTAGATGATACTAATGGCATTGGGGGAGGGGGAGGGTCTTTCTATCTAATTCTCCACAACACACATGATTTTATAATGAATCGCCTTACTCTCCTTTTTTCTGATTTCAAAACTCCAGTTTCTGCAATTTTTTTTTTAAATAAGGGAGTTGCTTCAGCTCCAATGAGAAAGCCAAAAGTAGGAGGCAAGATGGTAGAGAAAATGGTCCAATACCAGCTTGATACCTGCAGCAAAGAGAGATGGTAATACCATTTCAGTCACTTTCTTCTCTCTCTCTTCCTTCCTCTCTCTCTCTTTCATACACATACAGACCCATATGGAAAAATACATGGATTAGGACTGTAGAGTAATTCCCACTAATGTGTCAAAGTTGAAATCATAACCATTATCCCCACCAGGAGTTTGAATGGTGATGTCCTGGTTCCCCGGAATCTGTATCTTGATTCCCTTATAAATATAAGACATTGACTGCATTCCAACAACATGCTATGTTTGATGAATGTTAACCTTGGTTAATTTTGTTTGCCTCTGTGTGCTGTGATTAATTTATATCAGTATATTGCGTTAAGTCAGAAAATTGGTTAATGTAATAACTGGTTAAGTGTTTTGTTAATTGAGAGTTTTATTAAAAATAATTTTATCCAGACCCTTTCCTTCCACCCACATTTTTTTCAGTCCATACGAACTTCTCCACCAACTTTTCTTTTCATGACAAATGGCTAGGCAACTGAACTAATTGACAGTTAATATAATTAAGAATGGATGTTGCCAGATAAAAGCCAAATATTTCACAGAGCACAGGTTCTTCAGAAATGTTTCTTAGGCAGGGTGCACAACACATTGCACAATGAGAACAATTCTTCCCACCCAGCATCAGCTCTCAAACTCATTAGCCTTAGCATGAATGCATCTGATATGACCTGGTGGGCAGATCCCAGGTTTCTCTATCATTAGTAAAGTTCATAATGCCTATATGAGATAGGTTGAAGGACAACTCTTGTCTGTAGCTTTCCATATCCAGTAGGGTAAAATTACAAAATTCAGACTATACAAACCTTACTCATTTGTGGGTTTTCTTCTACAGCTACCAAAAGTGGATTCCACAACTGGAGATTGGACTGGACTTCTAAATCCTTACCTACTCTTAGTTTTATAAATGAAAAAGGAATAGGTACCTGTAATTCTTCCCTTTGGACCAATAAGCAGGATGAAATGCAGTGGAAGCACACATACCCCTTGGATTTTGGACGTTGCCTCCACCACACATCTTAAAGTACGAATGCAGCTCTTACATTCAAAAATGCTGAAATGTTCTGGATGGAGGAGAGATGTTGCTTGATGAGATGGCAAGAAAACCAACTATTCTAGATGCTCCAACTTCAAGTTTTCTACCTCCCAGGTGCTGACTAGGCTGGTCATTATTGTTTAATACTCTCAGTGGGGCAGGTTTTTCCACAGCTCCTGAGAACAGCAAACTAGTTTGAGTACAGGATGAGCTACACTTAGTTCTCCATTCATCATCTTGCCACCATTCAATCACCCTTTTCAAAGTTGTTTCCAGGGCTGAACCATAAGACTAAGGCGGTGTCCCCACGGCTTAAAGGGTCTATTCAAATCTTTCAGAGGTGCTGCAGTACACACCTCGGCGGTCTCTTTTTTGCTTTTTCTCATCTCCCCTCGCCGTTGCTCCATCTCCCACCCTAACTTTTTGAAGAGATCAGATGTACTGCAGAAGAAGCTACTGTAGCTGATGGATTTTATTGAAAAATGTTATCAATAAAAAAGTAGTACTCTGTGAAACCTCCCTCCCCACTAAGAAAAAAAGGCACTGTTTTTTTAACCCATGCTATCTGTTCTAAATATTAAAAAGAAAAACTGCAGGTGCCTTGTAAGGTATACCAGGAGGCTCAGGAGGCACAAGGGCATCAACCTTGGCACTTCTACGCAGGACTTTGGCTCTCAGATCAGACTGCACCCCTCTGATCTCATGCTGCTGGTGCCAATAGGCATCTGAGCTGATTATTTTCCCAGCTCAGTTGCAGTGCTGCTCAGATGGCAACGCTTCCATTTTGCAATTTTTGACCTTGTTGCTCTGTGAAACTTGGGTGGCAGCCCACTTGATGGGCTCTCCTGCCAGTCCTCGGCTTTCTTTCCTCCCTGTATTTGCTCAGCCTCTGTAGCGCTCCAGCGTCCATGCTCTGGGGTTTGGGATGTGAAAAGCTGTAATCTGATTTTTATTTTTACTTTTCCACTGCAAAAAGAAATGCTGCAGGAGGCAGAGATGGAGATAGGGAACAGAGCCCGAGTTGAAGGCTGATTTCTGCACTTCCTTGCTGAAGAGAGCATTGGTTGGTTCACCCTGAATGTTTGCAAGAGCAATGGTGAAGACAGCCACAGGCCGTCATAAGACTGAATCTGACAGTTAAGTCATCGCTGGTGGGGGGACGGGGGGGCATGCAGGGATGCCTGCCTGCTCCCTGGCAGTACCATTTATCACTGTACCTGGCTTTTTTCTTTCTTTTTCTTTTTTGCTACATGCTCAAACCAATGTTGCAGTGTAGCACTAATGGCACTACCATGCAACAATTATCTAGGTATTTGTTCTGAAGAGGAGGCAATACCTGTTGGGCTGAATAACTTAGGACTACTTACTGCCTGCTTGCTTGCTTGCTTATTTATTTATTTATTTAATTTGTATGCCGCCCATCTCCCCCAGCGGGTGACTCTTATCTGTAGGCCCTTTGCTCAGTCAGGGTTCCTGCCCACCCCCAATGCTGTTTACGGCCCAATGGGAGAAGGTGATTGAATGAGGGAGACAGTCCCTCTTCTGGAAGATGGGACCATCCAGGGGTTTCAGGGCATAGCTGGGGGTTCAAGGTGATTAGCGCTCCTGAAAGCAACTTTTGCCAGAGTCTGCCACCATTGTTAATGGTGGGTCTTGCCCTGGCAGAATGATGATAATTGGATTTCCTTTCAGAGCTTAATTCCTATATACCTAACTAGTAAAGGATATTCATCCTCATCTGATACATTTGGCTATCTGCCTGCATAGATGATAAAATCAAGCTTAGTGAGTGTTTCTGCTTTCCACTTCCGCAAAGCAGGAGCACAGGAAGCAGACAGGGAAAACACCACATGTGCACTCATTAGCACTTGGCCTGCGTGTGCTAATCCTGGCTAAGAATTAAATTAATGGGGAAGTAAAAAGATATTTTTGTTTTAAAAAAAGGACATTAGTTAAATTCGTGGCTTTCTTTAGATCATCTCAATACCATCTCTCATCATGGTGCAAATGACTGGTATGTATGTGTGTGTGTGTGCACACGCACACGCCTTCAAGTCAGTTTTTGACTCCTGGTGACTGCCTGGACTAGTCTCTGCCGTTTTCTTGGCAAGATTTTTCAGAAGTGGTTTGCCATTGCCTCCTTCCTAGGGCTGGGAAAGAGTGACTGGCCCAGGTCACCCAGCTAGCTTTGTGCCTAAGGCAGGACTATAGCTCACGGTCTCCCAGTTTCTAGCCTAGTGCCTTAACCACTACACCAACTGGCCTCTTGTTTTGATTAAGCCTTCACTTTAACAGTTACAGGACCCATTTAAGAGATTTTGAAGTATACCTTAAACTTCCCTGAGGAGATCTCTCTCTCTGGAGTCTAAAGCACATACTTTTTATCCGTTAGTCATCCTGAGGTAAAGAAGTGTCTTTCCCACATTTTTCCAAAACATAATTCTGTTACGGATTTAAAAAGACAAATATATCTAAAGTTAGTTTCAAATGGCACAGCATTCATGCAATCATAGCACTAGGACATTTCTAAATCAAAGCTTATAAAGTATTTCTTTCACAGGTCTATCTTCATCATATGCAAGAAATTACTGGACCACATTTTGGTTAAACGAAGTGATTTCAGGATGAGCTCCCTTTTGTACTCTTCCTAATCTCACATTACAGTACTTATCCACTTCTCAGTGTTTGACAGTATTTATAACCTTGGATGACATCACGTTCTGTTCCACATTGCAAAATATTCATGTGCTAAACATCTTTATCAATGAATTTTTTTCAAATCATTTTATTAAGAATTATAAATGAAA